AGCACAAATCATGATGCTTAATCGCATGATTCTAATACTCATTACATGAGATTTGATACTCTATTAAAATGTTTTGATGCTCAACTAACAAAACTTACCTTTTTCATATCAATGCTCATTTTGTATGTTACATATGCTCAATTGGTACATTTATTGTGCTCATTTTTAAAATGTCATATCAATGCATATTTCAAGAGTACCATATTACATTAGATTCACATATTGAAATTCATAGGAATTGATCATAGATATAATTTAATAAGTTTGTATAAAAAATAACAAAAAGAAGGTGAATTATAAGTTATGAAGCAGAGACCATGATGCTCAATATTAGACTCTCAATACTCAACATAATATGTCTGATGCTCACTAGACCTGTACAAACACGGGCTCGGGCCGGGCTCGGGCCGGGCTTCATCTAAAATTCCTACCCACTTCAGCGGGCCGGGCCGGCCCGGCCCGGATCTAACGGGCCACCTTCCATGCCCATGCCCGCCCATAATAGCGGGCCGGACAGTCCATCGGGCCACCCGGCCCGGCAAATTTTTAACATATAACGTTGAGCTGAATTCTTAAAAACGATTAATAAGCTGAATAACATTAATATGATTCCAAAACGTTGAGCAAAACGTTTACCCAGAGTCCCAAAACGTTTACCAGTTTACCTAGAGTCCCAAAACAATACCATTAATTTAAAGTGAAACCACAAAGTGAAAGAAAAATGTCCAAACACTAGGAAAGACTTATAAAGTCACCCATTACAATCACTTGAAATTTAATTAGCAAAACAGAAATAATGATTTAGTTCCCATGACTTCAAGAGTAGGACACTTGGGAGTAAAACTTGACTTGTCTGGTACTTCATTCCTCTGCCTCTTCATGCTACATGTGTACAACACAAATCATCATATTAAATTATTAATTATAATAACAAAAAAACAGAATATTTATATATAAAAGTACTAAAGTAGACATTGAGATAATGAAAACTATTTATAATGTCAATCTTACACTATAGTATCATCTCTTCGTCTGCTTCATCCTCGCTATCGTTCGAAGGTCCATCACCAATCTTGAACATACTTGTGGGACCTTGGAAATTGCAAGATGTACAAAATAGCAACACTTTAGCACATGTAACTTTTATACAATTCAAACCAAATTAATGATTACAGAATTATCAAAGCAAGTAAACAAGGTAGAAAATAAATCTGTTGTTCATAAAAAAAATTACCCGGTTCAAATCCAGCCGCCCGCAACCAATCCTCATAACATGCAAGTGCTTCAACAGTTGTGGGGGAGAGAGAACTTCTTGTAGGAGTTATTATTTTCTTCCCCAAACTAAAGGCGGATTCGGAAGGAACCGTAGAGACTGGAAGACTGAGTATATCCCGAGCCAAAGTTGAAAGAACAACAAACCTAGAAGAGTTACGCTTCCAGAATTGCAAAACATTAACATCATCTTTCATGTTAAGGCATTTTTCATCTAAATATAGGTCCAGTTCAGATTTCATTTCTGTCTTCCTTTTCTTGCTCATAAACTGATAAAGATCTTCATCATCAGACCCACTATCAAACTCGGACTGTAGCATAGAAGAATTAAAATTGCTATTTGAGGTGTTCTGGCCAGATTCCCCAATTTCAGAAAATGCAGACTTGTATTCATCCAGAAGCTCAACCAAAGTGTTTTTTATTCTATCCACAAAGTCCTTAGCACTTACTTCCCCCAGTAACTTCTTATACAAAAACCCAACACCATCTAACTTTAAACGGGGATCAAAAACAGCAGCACAAGAAAGAATGAGATTGTAATCTTCCCAATATTTCGCAAATTTCAATTGCATTTCAGAAACCATCTCAGATAAAATGCTGGGAGGGGCAGCTGCTGTTTTTTTCAACAGCCTATGAATTTTCCACACCCCACAAAAATAAATATTAGAGGTCGGTGTCTTGGAAGCAGAAAAGTCATTTGTCACATCAAAAAAAACTTGCAAGAACTTCTTCAACTGACTTACCTTTGCCCACTCCTCCTCGGTGAGACGATACGATTTCAAATCTGCATTCTTTCCAACAAAGCTATCAATAGCATCTCGAAAATAAAGGAATCGATCCAACATAGTGAAAGTTGAGTTCCATCTAATAGGTGTGTCTAACCGTAGCTTCTTGGTGGTATTCAAGTTAAAAGTAGTGGAAGCTATCTCATAAAATTTCTTGTTTTTTGGCATGGAATGCCTCAAATGTGTTACTGTTTTCCTTATCTTAATGACAACATCATCAATGAGTTTCAGCCCCGCTTGAACCACTAAGTTAATAATGTGACAAGAACAACGGATGTGAACAAAGTTTCCATTCAACAACAAGGTGTTTTTTCTTAATAGGTGTCTCTTAAGGGATGCTATCATTGTATCATTGTAAGAGGCATTATCAACCGTAAAACTAAACACCTTGTGACCTATTTTCCATCCACTAAAACATAAAAGAATCTCATCCGCAAGAGAAGAACCATCTAATGAAGGAGGTAAAGCAGCAAATTTGATTATTCTCTTTTGTAGCTTCCAAAATTTATCAATCCAATGAGCTGTAACACACATAAACTCATCACCTGTGTGTTCACTCCTCCAATTATCAGTAGTGAAACAAATACGACCAGGAGCGCTTTCAAGCTCTTGAGCAACAATAAGTTTATGGGATTTATAGTTGCTCATAGAATCTCTTTTAACGGTCGCTCTACTAACCTGATGAAACTGAGGTGCAACTACACTCATAAAATTCTTAAAACCCGGTGCTTCAACAAGTGTAAATGGTAATGCACATGACACAAAAAGAACAGAAATAGCTTCACGAATGGAAGAGGGGCTGGGTAAAGGCCTACTTAAAGACATGGTATTCGCTACTTTTGTGTCACATTCTATAGTAGAATCACCAACAATGCAAAAGTTTTTGATGTTGTTGTACTTACGTGAAGCACAGTGAGATACATGTCTTTTCAAATGAGAAGTTCCACTCTTAGAATTGGCAGTAAAAATTTTCTTACAGTGTTTACATGTAGCTCGAATCAACCCATTATCCAAAACATCTCTGTGCATCTCGTCCCACACATCCGATTTCAGTTTTTTCCCTTTCAATGTGCACTGGTTTGTTCTACTTTGATCTCCCCCTTCACTGTCTATTGTCTCTTTTTCAATGTGATGATCTTCCATTGATCTAGGTAAAATAAAACTCAAAATTAATAAAAAAAATTACGAAGAGAATACAAACTGTTCTTGAATTTTTCAGTAGACTAAGAAATAATTGACTGACATAGCTACATCACTAAAGCTTCCTGCATCCAATTTTTAAGATTGCAAGAATAACTAGTGATATAATCTTTCTAATCCCTCCACTGTAAATACTTTTACAATGAGTATAATAAATACTCAGTAGTCGGTACTAAAAGACTCAAGCATGAACACCCATTCTTCAAGATTACACATTTACACGTAAATAAGAAGGTGAAGGTGAAAACTTAAAACTTAAATTAATAATCAAGAAAAAATACCTCATTTGAGACGGAGATGAATCCATAATTGGAGGTGAACTCACACCTTGATCTGGAGACATGGAACTGATGGAAGCAATAGATCTGCTCTCCGTCTCCTGCTAGGCTGCTTCTCTGCCGAGTGCCGATCTCATGGAGTAGAATCTAGAATATCGTGGATGTCTTTGGTTTGTACGAAATAGGGTTTTAGGGATATTGGGTTCAGCGGTTTGGGCCATTAATCTCATGTACTGGACTACTGATGGTAACAAACTAACAATCCCCAAGTCCATAAATTATATTATTAATTTATTATAAGTATAATGTGCTACGTATATTATATATATATTATATAATTTTACGGGCCGGGCTTTTTGGCCCGACCGGGCCTACAATTGAACCCAAACCCGCCCACATTTTTACCGGGCTCGGGCCGGGCCGGCCCAATGGGCAAATATATATGTCCAGACCCGCCCGTTTATATGGGCGGGCTGGGCGGGCCGGGCGGGCCGGCCCGCGTTTGTCCAGGTCTAATGCTCACTATAAGTTCGTTAATGCCCATTTAGCAGAAACCATGATTTGCATCTCGATAGAGGACTTTGATGCTTAATGAAAATGTCGTGATGTTCAACTAACAAACCTTATGATTTTGATATATATGCATATTTTGTAAGTTACATTTGCTCATTTGGTATTGATGTTATGCTCATTTTTAAAATGTTATATCAATGCATTTTTGAAAAGTACAATATTTTATTAGATTCACATATTGAAACTCATAAAATTTGATTATAGATATAATTTAATACGGAGTAAGTTTTTGTAAAAAAAAATAAGGGAAAGAAAGTGATTAATATAGGTCTGATGCTCACTAACAATACATTAATGTTCATTTAGCGGAAACAACTAATTTTCACTTAGAGCGCGTTTGGTAGGAATAAGTAGGATGTAAAAAAATTGCTTTGCATGAGAAGGAGAGAGGCGTAAAATGTTTACACTATTTGATTTGATTATTTAATGTAAACTGTAGGCACTTTTTAAAATCATTTCGCATCGTATCATATAAAGTATTTTATGTTGAGGGTGATAAAATATTTTGAATACTTTTAATAAAGAACTGCAATGTCTTTACTTAGAAATTAAAAATAAAAAATAACTACTCAAACAAATGTAATTTATTTTAAGTGATATATCTTCCATTGCAATCATATGCATGGAAATATTTATCCGGTCTTATCATGCGCTATCTTACCACATGTGGTACAACGTAGGCTTCCATTTATGTAGGCTTGAAACCTACTACCTCCGTCTCATTTATATTGGGACGGAAGAGGGTGACACAATTATTTAGAAAAGTGGGTTTGTGTAGTTGATATTAATTAATAAAGTAAGAATAAAGTAAGAATGATTTAGAGCCACACAAAACTTTGCCAAATATAATATGAGACAATTTAAGTGGGACTTCCGAAAAGGTAAAACGAAACAATATAAATGGGAGGGAGTACCATTTAGAGTTTGAAGTAGATGCGTTGCTTCATTTGGTAATCGATTAGTGAGCCAAGCAAAGTCTGCAAAAGTGATTTTTGTTTGTTCACACACTATACCGCTCACCATGAATCGAAGACCTTCCATAAGACTCCTCCCGTGTTCCAACTTCCTACTTAGTTCTTGTAGTTGGTCTTAGTAGACTGAGATTACGCATGAGCTGACGCTGCTGCTTATAACATATTAACATGCACACCTTTTTCGCCATCTTATCACCACAACCTTCTCATGGGGCAATGACCCACGTTTTAGCCATACATCTTCTATGGGTAATTAAATGTCAGCCTTTCTTTGTTGATCAATTTTGTTGTTATTTCTTCGGTATGGAGTATATGGACAATAAAAGATTGGTGAATTAATGTCTGATTTTTTCTTATCCATACACATTAATTGTAATACTGCTATGTTTTGTGAAGATCAGAGCGAGTTCAGTACTCATGAATTCGTATAAGCACTTTCTGTTTCTCAATGCTGGAGCCACTGTGCACTAATTTTCCAGCTTCATTTATGTAAGTTCTTTTGTAATTTATTGGCAGGCTCCTAGAAACAAGAGATCTTTTATTGCTTCACCTCACACTACCGGTGGGATCTATGAATTTCAAAACTTGTCCAAGGAAGTTTGTTCTAGTCCAGCATCTGGGGTTAGAAATATCAGATGGGTATGTTAGACACTTCTATTTTACATAATGAAGCAAACAGTTGGAAAAAATTCCATCCAATTTTAATCATGTCCTGTTTGATTCATTTCCAGTGTTGTGGTGTAATAAAAAAAATCAGAATTTTTGACACTCAAATTGGTTACTATTTAGTAAAGTATATATGTACTATTGAATCTCATGAACTTTAGGTTGAGCATCAAACATTCTTTGTTGTTGTTTTCATCTTCTCTTCAGTTGGAACAACTGAGCAAGAACAGTTTACTTTCTCAAAACAATTTCCTCACTCTTCAATGGCTGCACTAAGTTTAGGGTTTCACGTAAAGTAATGGTTTAGTTCATTTCCTGCTACAGAGGAAGCGCAGTTCAAGCATTTCATCAATCTTGACTGATGACAGTTCAACCATGGCTGATGCTGAGAAAGAAATTGAAAGTATTCACCTTCTTAGCCTGGACCACGGATTGCAACCATATGAAGATCACTTTAGATATAGAATGAAGAAATATGTGCACTGGAAAAGGATATTAGAAAATAATGAAGGAGGTCTTGAGGAATTTTCTCTAGGTAATGCTGACCCTTTTTAACCCAGGTTTTATATGTGGATTCATGTTAGCTGACCCCAAACTCTTTTGGGACTAAGGCTTGGATGATGATGATGTTATTGTTTTAATGCTGACCCCATTGGGTTGGAGGTCATTTTTTATGCCCCCCTTCCAAATCTGTATGAGATTTACTAATGGTATAAAAATCTGTGTTACATCTAAATATCTAATTGATAAGCTGGAAGTTTCTTAGAGTTGGAGTATGTTTGGAACCCAGAATATATACTATTGAAAGAACTAGAGTGACAAATAGAGAGGAGAACGGGGAGGAGTAAAAACATTGTAAAATTCCAAAAGAGAGCACTATGTTTCCCCCCGAAATAGGAGTTAATTATTGCCTGTAATCATACTGCCATATTTTGGCATTAAGAGGCATTAATATGACATTATTAATACCATAATTGGCCATATTTTTACCTCATGTCGGTAATCACTCTTATTTAGGGAAGCAAAACGTAGTACCCATTTTTTGGAATTTCACATTATTTTACTCCTATTTAGGATTATTTCTTAAAACTTATTATGGTTATTTGTTCAAAATCATTTTATTTAGTTATTTAATACTTCTTATATATATAGTCTAAGATATCTAAATACTATTTTTTTTACAAATTAGTTATTAGATCATATTTCATTTTCTTTGCATTTGTTAAAGCATAGCCTAACATAAGAAAATACCTTCCCTAAACAATTTCTCTTTCCGTAGAAGTCTTAGATCCTGAATCCAAACATACCTTTCATGCTCTCCACTTTCATTATAATACTCCTTCCGTCCCACAAAACATGGCCAAAGTTGACTTGCACGTAGATTAATAAAGTAAAACTGTGTGGTTGAAATTTGTGTAGAGGAGAAAGAAATAACTTTAGCCGCATATTCCTTACTTTAAATGGAAATGACAAAGTTTTTTGGGACGACCAAAAAAGGAAAATTGGCCAAGTTTTATGGGACGGAGGGAGTATAAATTTGTTAGCTCAAATGTATCCATTAGTATGTAGGGTGTGCATATATAACTTACTTCAAAAGGCTTCCCTCTGCTGCAGGGTATTTGAAATTCGGGTTTACCAAAGGAAATGGTTGCATTGTCTATCGGGAATGGGCTCCTGCAGCTCAGTAAGTTATATTGGTTATAGAGGCCATGCCCAGTTGCCAAGTACTATATGCACAACGTTTGTACAATAATTTCTGTTAAGCACACATGAGTCGATTGAAATATGAGCAAAACGGATAAACAAATAAACCTAAAATATGAGGAAGTTAGGTGCGGAAATGTTAGGACTTTGGGTGATTTAAATATTAATCCCCATAGGGCTTTCTCTCAGGTGTATGTCAGGAGGGCTAAAAGGGGAAATTGGGGCGTAACTAATTAGATAAGAAGGGGGACCCAGTCAAGAGAATAAAAAGTGTAGTGCGAGGAGATAGGCTGAAAATTCAGTTTGGACTTGGAGAGCACGGCACTCTCGAATTGCCTGGACTTTTTTTTTTTTTCCGATCACTGCCTCTCAGTTCTTATCTGTAATTCTGATAACTTTTGCTCTACTTCATTCATATTACCTTGTTATTATTCTGGAAATCTGTGTGTTCTAACATTGGTATCCGAGCACTTTCTGTTGGGCCTGTGGATGGTTGTCACTCGAGCAAGCATGGAACAACAGATAGAGCACATGGAGCGAGTATACACTGAGATGCGAACGAACATGGATGCCCGGATGCAGACGATGATGGATGCGATCGAGAAACTCACTGTTCATCATGAGCGACGGAAACTGAGGGGTCGATCGAGGACTGTACGACGACCAACGCCCTCGGAAAATAGGGAGGCGTCTCGTTCCAGAGGTATTTCGAATGAATCTCAGTCGGCTTCTTACGTTCATGAGAATACGAGGTTCAACAATCGTATATATATGGGTAGGAAAGTGGAATTACCCGTTTTCAATGGTATTGATGCTTATGGGTGGATTATCAAAGTAGAACGTTATTTTAAACTGAATCAGGTGTCTGAGTCTGATAAGGTGAAGGCTGTTCTGATAGCCATGGCCGATAAGGCTTTGAATTGGTACCAGTGGTGGGATGAGCAGACCGGAGAACATTCCTGGGAAAATTTTAAAGATGCACTGATCCGGAGGTTTCAACCGGAAATGGTAAAAAACCCGTTCGGTCCTATGTTGCGTATTAAGCAAACCGGGTCAGTCATGGAATACCGAGACCAGTTCGAACTTGTGGTAGCACCGATGAAGAATACAGACCGGGAGATTCTAAAAGGAGTGTTCCTAAATGGGCTAAAAGATGAGATAAGAGCCGAATTAAAGCTCTATCAATCCAGTGGGATAACGGAACTCATGGATAAGGCCTTGCTAGTTGAAGCAAAAAATTGGGCGGTTAAGGGCGGTCGAATCAGAGAAGAGGATAGGAGAGTTTGGAAGGATAAAGGGGGATTTGGTACCAAGCAGCTAAATTGGGCAGAATGAAGAGTAAAAACCAAAATAATACTCCCCAGCATAATGAGAGGACCCTCGAGGGGAAGAGACCTCAACACTTACACAGATGTGGCGCAATAGCAGGATATTGACTCCATTTGAGCTGGAAGATAGGAGTAAGAAGGGATTGTGCTTTAAATGTGGTGACAAGTGGAACAAGGAGCATATATGCAAAATGAGACACCACCAGATACTCTTGTGGGAACCTGCAGAAGAAGATGAGCAAGAGTCAAACCACCTTGCTGAAGCAGAAGTGGAGGTGGAAGGGAAATCGAAAGTAATGCAATTATCTCTGCTAAGCAAGGGGAGTATTGCCACTCTTAGAACATTCATTGTGCAGGGAATGCCGCAGGTTCAGGAGAAATGCCAGCCCGTAAGAGTGCTCATTGATTCTGGGGCAACCCACAATTTTGTATCTCACAGGTTGGTGGAGGAGGATCTAGAACTACCTTATGAGGGAAATCACCATTTCCTAGTTGAGATGGGGAATGGGGACAAGATCATCAATCAAAAAATGTGTAGAGTGTTATGTGCCGGGTTTGGGATCGCGTCACGGGACCGGAATAGGAGACAGAAGGTAGCTCGGAGGTCTGATTGACGGTGTTGCTTGCTGGCATATATATGCTGCAACTTGCAGTCATGTAGTTTGAATATCGTGTGGAGTGGTGGAAGAAGATGAGAATTTGGACCGTCGGCATAAGGGATTGGTCGTACCAGCGCGGAATTAAGCGGCCTTTGGCGTCGTAAGAACGAGTCAGATTCATGGCCACTTCAAGGCTATTTGGATGCTGTGACTCCACCTCCATGCGTAGAGCCTCATCAAGTCCAGCAGTATATAAGTCAACCAACTGATCTTCACGAACTGTTGTTGTTCGAGCCAAAAGGCTCTGAAAATTCTCATTATAGCCTGCAATTGATCCTTTACTTTGTTTCAAGTTGGCAATATCTCCTAGAGCATTGTCTGTTAGGGGAGGGCCAAAGCGTAACTTGCAACAATGTTTGAAACGGTGCCATGGCAGATTTGGCTCTCTTAATACCAGGTTGTAAGACCAAACCTGAGCCTCGCCCGTCATATGGTAGGAAGCCAATGAAACCTTGTCAACATCCATGGTGTTTTGGTTACGGAAGAATTGCTCACATCGATGGAGCCATCCAAGCGGATCCTCCTTGCCGCTGAATACTGGGAACTCTAAACGAGAGTATTTCGGCAAGACGGAACTAGGGCGTTCATCTATTTGATTCTCATGAAAATCACCAGATGGTGGATGGTTGTTAGAGGAAGCAGCCTGTGTGTGACCAGGTTGATTTTGATTTTGCATATACTGTTGGAGCATAGCATGAATGGCAGAGACTTGATCTTCAAGTGCCTTCATTCGGGTGTTCATGGAGGGTTTGGTGGCAGATTGTTCTGGTTCACCCATGACGACTGGCTCTGATACCAAATTGTTATGTGCCCGGGTTTGGGATCGCGTCACGGGACCGGAATAGGAGACAGAAGGTAGCTCGGAGGTCTGATTGACGGTGTTGCTTGCTGCCATATATATGCTGCAGCTTGCAGTCGTGTAGTTTGAATATCGTGTGGAGTGGTGGAAGAAGAAGATGAGAATTTTTGTTGAGAATTCTCCAACTCCCTGATTCTAACTATTGACAAACTTTTTCTCACATCTCTATTGAAAATAAACCTTCTCTTAAATAGAGGAAGGTTGGTTACAGATTATAACTTCCATAAACTTTAACTGCCCACTAAATGCTTAGTGCCCTGGTAGTTGCTTTAGGAGTAGCTACCCACTACCACATTAACCCAACACTAATTACTGCAGACATAAATAATGATAATAATTATAATAATAATAATAATAATTATAATAATAATAGTAAAAGTGTGCCCCCAGTCTTCTCCGCGTATGAACTTTCAGCCTTTTACCTACTGGAATGTATCATAGAGGCTTTCAGGTAGGGGTACAAGGGGTGATGATTATTCAAGACTTTTATCTTTTGGAGCTGGCAGGGACAGATCTGGTGCTGGGGATGGAGTGGTTGGTCAATTTGGGAATGAGTAAAGGGTCAGTTTGGTACTCGAAGTTGCAAAAAAGGCGTCAAATAAGTCCTTATATAGAAGATTCTGTCTGGACGTGCCATTTGAGGTGGCTCCCGGTGGAATTTTGTGATAAATTTTTTTGAGCATCTTATTCATTAAGTCTAGTTTACTCATACCAAATTTCAGCTAAAAATTCAATCGGGAAGACATTCAAATGAATTCTTGAAGATAACAGCGCTTTTAACGGCACAGTTATCTTCAAGAATTCATTTGAATGTCTTCCCCATTGAATTTTTATCTGAAATTTGGTATGAGTAAACTAGACTTAATGAATAAGATGCTCAAAAAATTTCATCAAAAAATTCCACCGGGAGCCACCTCAAACGGCACGTCCAGACAGAATCTTCTATATAAGGACTTATTTGACCCCTTTTTTGCAACTTCGAGGACCAAACTGACCCTTATCCCATTTGGGAATCATTAAAGTAAAAATCATAAAATTAATCATAAAATGGGAGGAACATGGACATGAAAAGCAATTGCAGGGGGATCCGGCTCTCAGCAGGACACAAGCTTCTTGGAAGACCTTGGTGAAGAATCTGCAGAAACAGGGGGAAGGCTATTATGTTTACTGGGAGGAAGCCACAAAAGACAACCTTGAAGGAAGCAATTCTGAAGAGAGATGGGAGAAGGTTTTAACTGAATTTGCTCCAGTCTTTCAACCTCAACAGGGGCTACCTCCGAGCAGGGAATGTGATCATGCAATTAACATCAAAGAGGGGGCCACTATCCCTAATATCAGGCCCTACGGATACCCACGTTACCAGAAGAATGAGATAGAGAAGTTGGTGAAAGATCTGCTGAATACAGGTATAATCAGACCGAGTAATAGTCCCTATAGCAGCCCAGTCCTTTTGGTTAAAAAGGAGGGCGGGTGGAGATTTTATGGTGATTACTGTGCTCTAAACAAGATCACCATCCCGGATAAATTTCCTATACCCGTAATAGAAGAATTATTGGATGAACTGGGAAAGGAAAATATATTTTCCAAATTGGATTTAAAACCCTGGTACCATCAGGTTCGAATGAAGGAGGCTTACATCCACAAGACAGCCTTCCGAAAAAATGAGGGGCATTACGAGTACATTGTGATGCCCTTTGGATTAACCAACGCCCCCTCTACGTTTCAAGCACTTATGAACCAAATCCTTGAACCTTACCTCAGGAAGTTTGTCCTAGTTTTTTTTTATGACATTCTGATCTATATCAAAGATGTGGAGGAGCATACAGAACACATTCGAAAGGTGTTACAGATTCTCAGAGAGAACCAACTGGTAGTTAATAAAAAAGTGCTTATTTGGGCAAACACAGCTGGCTTTCTAGGACATATAATCTCCGGAGAGGGAGTTGTAGCAGATCCCACTAAGATACAAGACGTGCTGGATTGGCCAGTACCCCAAAATGTGAGAAGTTTAAGAGGGTTTTTGGGGCTCACAGGATACTACAGAAGATTTGTGAAGGGGTATAGCAAAATAGCCACACCTCTGACAAATTTGTTAAAGAAGGAAAGGTTCAAATGGAATCAGGAGGCACTGACAGCCTTTGAACAACTCAAGGTGGCCATGACTACTCTACCCGTTCTTGCAACCCCAGACTTTGATAAAACATTTATAGTTGAAACCGACGCTTCAGGAAAGGGAATTGGAGCGGTTTTGATGCAGGAAGGAAGACCGGTAGCGTATATGAGCAAGGTCTTGTGTGAAAGAAATCAGAAGAAATCAGTTTATGAACGGGAATTAATGGCCCTTGTCCTGGCAGTAAAAAATGGCGACCTTACCTACTGGGAAGATGTTTTGAAATACATACGGATCAGAAAAGCCTCAGATTCTTAACAGAACAGAGAATCATGGGAGAAGAGCAACAGAAATGGGTGACAAAATTGCTAGGATACAAATTCACAATCAAATACAAACCGGCTAATGAGAATGAGGCGGCAAATGCTCTGTCCAGAAAAGGAGGTCTTTATTCACTCTCGGTTGTGACATGCCAAGAATGGCAAGGGTTGGAAGAGGAACTGATGGAGGATGAAAGATGTAAACAACTTATTCAGACCTTGTTAGCGCAACCGGGGTCAAAAACTGGTTTCACTCTCCGAAAAGGGTTGCTATATTATCAGAACAGATTAGTACTACTGAAATATTCCCCCAGAATCCAGTCTATTCTGCAGGAATTCCATGATTCTGCTATAGGGGGACATTCGGGGAATTTGAGAACCATGAAGAGGATAGCTAATGTCTTTTACTGGGAAGGGATGAGGACAGAAATACAAACGTATGTCAAGAATTGTGAAGTTTTCAAGCGGAACAAATACCAAGCCTTAAAGCATGCAGGGCTACTGCAGCCACTTCCCATACCTACACAGGTGTGGACTGATATAAGCATGGACTTTGTGGGTGGGCTGCCCAGAGCCATGGGAAAGGATACCATACTCATAGTGGTTGATAGACTAACTAAGTTTGCACATTTGATACCCTTTTCTCATCCATACACAGCAAAAGGGGTGGCAGAAGTATTCATACAAGAAGTCGTGAGGTTGCATGGGTTCCCTAAATCTATAGTTTCTGACAGGGACAATATTTTCCTCAGTTTTTTTCCCGTCTGAAATGTTTAGGGTGGCAGGGACAAAATTGAAATATAGTACTGCATACCACCCCCAGACGGATGGAGAAACAGAGGTGGTAAACCGGTGTGTCGAAACCTACTTGAGATGCATGACAGGGAGTAAGCCCAAACAGTGGCCCAAGTGGCTTCCCTGGGCAGAATATTGGTAAAACACCAATTTCCATTCTGCACTCAAAAATACTCCTTACAAGGCCTTATATGGGCAAGATCCTCCCGCACTAATCAGGGGAGATGTCACCCTAACAACCATTGAAGAAGTGACTAAACTTACGGCCAAGAGAAACTTGATGATAGCTGAACTGAAAGATAATTTATCCAAGGCTCAGAACCTAATGAAACAACAATACAATCAGAAAAGGAGGACAGAACAGTTTGAAGTGGGCAACCAGGTTTATCTGAAGATTCAACCCGACAAGAAAATGAGTTTGGCCATGAAACTCAACCAAAAACTCAGACCCAGGTTTTATAGGCCCTTTGAAGTAGTAGAAAAAATAAATCTGGTGGCATACAATTTAAAACTTCCTCATACCTGCTCCCTACACCCGGTCTTTCACGTGTCGCTTCTGAAGAGGGCATTGGCTCCTAATATTCAAAGTCAGCCTCTTCCTGCATGTTTGAATGAAGAATGGGAGTTACAGGCACAACCAGAAAAAAAGATCAAAGAGGGCAGAGTCAATGAGGCAGGAGAACAGGAGATATTGGTCCACGGGAAGAATTGGCCAGAGGTTGAAGATTTCTGGGAAGAGCTCAAGAAGTTCTAGAAAAACTTCCCTGAATTCCACCTTGAGGACAAGGTGTTATTCAAAGGGGGGAGTAATGTTAGGACTTTGAGTGATTTAAATATTAATCCCAATAGGGATTTCTTTCAGGTGTATGTCAGGAGGGCTAAAAGGGGAAATAGAGGAATAGAGGCGTAACTAATTCGATAAGAAGGGTGGCCTCCTAGTAAAGGGAATAAATAACGTAGTGCGAGGAGAGAGGAGATAGGTTGAAAATTCAGTTTGGACTTGGAGAGCACGACACTCTCGAATTGCCTGGACTTATTTTTCTTTTTTTCGATCACTGTCTCTCAGTTCTTATCTGTAATTCAGATAACTTTTACTCTATTTCATTCATATTACCTTGTTATTATTTTGGAAATCCGTGTGTTCTAACAGGAAACAAACTTATTAGCATCTCACATTAATTGTCTTTTTGACAAAATTTGGGTGGGAATAAACTATTGTGTGAAGCCGTTGTACAAGTGGTGTACATAAAATGTTGTACAAGAGGAACTTCAATTTGTCATAACCTTTCAAAAGTGCAGGGAAGCTGAATTAATAGGCGATTTTAACGAATGGGATGGGTCCCGTCACCAGATGGAAAAAAACCAGTTTGGTGTATGGAGCATAAAAATTCCTGATGATGATGATGGAAACACAACTATTTTACACAATTCTAGAGTTAAGTTCCGTTTTAAGGATGTGAGCGGAATTTGGGTTGATAGAATTCCTGCCTGGATAAAGTATGCTACGGTAGACCCTACAAAGTTTGCTGCACCTTATGATGGCGTGTACTGGGACCCGCCAGCTTCTGAAAGGTGAATTTTCCTATCCTTAGGAACTTGAAACTAAGTGATTGTTGCTGTTGGTGGTTTTAATATTTTATTTGAGATAGCAGTATCGAGCCATCAATCTTGATTCTTGTGTGCCAATGTAGAATCTCACTATACTAAGGGTCTGTTTGGATTTTGGAATATAGAAGATTATTATCAAAAGAAAAAGGTAGGCAAATACAGATAAATGTTTTGGGAGGAAATAAAATATGGGGGAAGAAACAAATTGGTTCAAACTCGAGATATATATTAAGAGATCTAGTATATGCAAGACTCCAAAACAGATTTAATGAAGTTTCATTTCCTAGGTATTTTCCGAGGTACAGCAGAACATAAAAACTAATTTCTTTAGCAAATATATTCCTTGATATCTCTCATTTTCCAGGTTCCAAACAAAGCTTAAAGTGGCGTGTTTATCTCACTCTAGCATAATTATTAGTTAAAGTAACGTTGATAAAATAATTTTCCTTTTTCCAATGGAACATGTAAATGAATCAATGGTTGACAAGTACTCTCTTATAAACCTTACAGGTATGATTTTAAATACCCCCGTCCTCCTAAACCCAAGGCCCCAAGGATATACGAAGCTCATGTGGGTATGAGTAGCTCAAAACATCATGTAAACTCATACAGAGAATTCGCAGATGATGTTTTGCCCCGTATAAAGCAAAACAATTATAACACAGTCCAGTTGATGGCTATAATGGAGCATTCCTATTATGCATCGTTTGGATATCACGTTACAAACTTCTTTGCGGTAAGCAGTAGGTCCGGAACGCCAGATGACCTTAAGTATCTGATTGACAAAGCACATGGGTTAGGTTTAAGGGTGTTGATGGATGTTGTTCACAGTCATGCTAGTAACAATGTCACAGATGGTCTAAACGGCTATGATCTTGGGCAAGGATCACAAGAGTCCTATTTTCATAGTGGAGAACGAGGCTACCATCAGTTGTGGGATAGCAGACTCTTTAACTATTCTAGTTGGGAAGTTTTGCGTTTCCTTCTTTCCAACTTAAGGTGGTGGCTTGAAGAATACAAATTTGATGGGTTTCGGTTCGACGGAGTGACTTCTATGTTATATCATCACCATGGGATCGGGTTTTCATTCACGGGAGGCTATAATGAGTATTTCAGTGAGGAAACAGATGTCGATGCAGTGGTTTATTTGATGCTTGCCAATACACTGATCCATGGTCTCATGCCCGATGCAACAATAGTTGCTGAGGATGTTTCAGGTATGCCTGGACTTTGCCGACCAGTGCTGGAGGGCGGCATTGGGTTTGACTACCGATTAGCAATGGGCATCCCAGACCGGTGGATGGGTTACCTGAAGAATAAGCAGAGTGTCGAGGATTGGTCAATGAAGGATATAACATGGAGTTTGACAAATCGCCGATACACAGAGAAATGCGTGGCTTATGCGGAGAGTCATGATCAGGTAGGTATAGCATATTATATTAATGCGTGAAATGCATCTCAGGGTTTCAAATATGGGGTCCAGTGCCTTTGTTCCTCTTCTTATTTTATTTTATATCATTTAATTCGTGCAAGCAGGCTATTGTTGGAGACAAGACAATTGCATTTCTGCTAATGGACAAAGAAATGTATTCTGGCATGTCCTGCTTGGCAGAAGCCTCTGTTATTGTGGATCAAGGAATTGCACTTGTCAAGGTAGGTTTGATTTGTCACGCCTTCAAAAGTTTATTTGATAGAAGCTTTTGCTGTTACCATGGGTTTGGAGATGTGGCAAATTTGACCAGTCACGCTCATTTGCAGATGATTCACTTCTTAACAATGGCCTTAGGAGGAGAAGGGTACCTAAATTTCATGGGAAACGAGGTACAGTACTAGTCCCTCTTTCCCATTTTACATTCTTAATTACTAATCATTGCTCAGCATCTTAGCTATCCTATTTTCTTCTGTACTCTTTTGTAACTAATAAATAGCCATCCTATAACTAAGAATTAGTTGAATGGCCTGGAACCCTCTTTTTCTCCACTATCAAAATATTTAATATTATTCTTATTACTATTACCACTATCCGGGTCCCTAACTCCATTTCATCACTCCTCATTGACTACCACCTTCTCCTCAAGGTGGGTGGTAGGAAACAGCCCTGTGAATCAGCTTCATCCTTGCGCCTCTCCCTGGCAAAGACATTGTTGCATAAATTCTCCACAATTTTGTCATTCATTAGTTTATCTAGAAGCCTAGAGATAAGAGCGCGCTCATCCTCCAGTTTGGATTGCATCAGAGGAGAAATACAGATGTAGACTGCTCGGGGAACAGCTTCACAAAGAGTGTTCAGTACATCCAGCAACTTTCTAACAACGGCATGAACCTGTGGATCATCCTTCGCCAATTGGCCCCACTGAATAGTTTGTTGTTGCCTGTATAGCTTTATAGAGCAGAGATATAGCAACGCATTATAGGCGCAGATCATTACAACGCCTTCACGAACCAATTCATATCTCTCGTCATCTGATGCCTTTCAGTTCAAGTATTTTTGAGAATTTGGGAATAACAGGGACACATTTTCATTTCCATGCTTGTGAATAATCAATATACCAGCATTAATAATGTTTTCAGGTAGCAAGTTATAAGCACAATTTGATAGAAGCGATTCGATCTCCCTTCCTGGGCGGATATGGCTTCTGTCCATGAATATCTCCTGTTCATTTGATGTTGCCTGCGAACTGATGGTTTCTCCTGTGCATACCAAGTATGAAAACCTTTCTATCCCATGCTTGGGCACAAAAACAATGAAACCATTGGTTCTTATTTTCAGCATTCTAACTTCTGTGTCCATGGGGTTCTTTCTAAAGAATAACAGTATAGAGTTTTACTGATGCTCTGCTAGACATCGAGGCCTTCCTGTGTTGAAAATTCCAATTCTCAACAATACTGGTTAGCTTGTCTTTGTTGTCAAAAATTTCAGAAAGTTTGCAAATCTCCATAGATTTAGCAAGCAGTCGGTGGACAATAACTTCTGTATATCTTCTAGTTCTAATTGGTGAGGTGAAATGCGTACAAAATTGGGGGAATTCAGATTTCCCATCCAAAAATAAACTGCCTGTGCCATTCCTCTGGTTGAGAAAATCCGAATAGGCTTATTGAAGTGAGGATCAGCACCACAAGCATGATAAAGAGAAGCAGTTAATGCTTTTGATGAAGTTACATCCAGATCAATACCTACAATTGCAGCAGTTCGGAGAAATGATTCAAGCAACTCCTTGGTTGGGCTAAGATGACACCTTAAGAGAGAGTACATAGGATAATGGTGCAGTACCTTTTCAGGCACAACCTTGTTAGCTAGGTTCGAAATTGCGTATTGCATAGTTGTGGCGTTTTTTAAAATTGCAAGGTTTGAATTATGATGTGTGTCTAGAGTCCTCTTTGGGAATTACAATAGATCGCAGAAGAAAACAAAGACTAGAAAATAGAAAATAACATCGAGACAATTTCAACAATGCCTTTCTCTCCCAAGACCAATCCCAACTAAATTCCAGCGTACCTTCCTTATACCTCTCCCCGCTCATTAATATTCCTATTCTTTAGAGCCGGATCTAAGCTAATTAGTTAAATGGCTTTGGAACCCTCTTTTTTCCACTATCAAAATATTTAATATTATTCTTATTATTATTACTACTACTGTCTGGGTCCCTATCACTATTACAAGACTTAGAAACCAAAGGATGAATCTTCAGTCACTTAGGAAAATGCTTAAATCGTGCAACTTCTTTCTGCTCATGTTTTGGAATCCAGGCCATCCTCTTTTCTTGGTGTTTAGTTAGGGATTTGCCTGTAGGCACATTTGAAAAAGAGGATGAGCCTTTTGCTTTGGAAACATGTTTTGAGGGAGATTTTTGAACTGTGCCTTTTGTAACAGGAACGGAGGGTTGAAACTACACTTGAATGAGGAGAGTTTTTGAGAAAAGAAATTTCATGTAATAGTTTTTCTTGTTCTGTTTTTAAAACTTGTCTTTCTATTTTGAGAGATGTGATTAAATTCGCAGTTTTATAAATTATCGCAAAAATATACGGATTTGTTTTTTCAGATTTAGAGTTTTATGAAACAAATTGGTCTTTCCTTCATGCCTAGTGTTGTGAACAGAAAAATAAAAATCAACGGGGTAAACCGTTGCCCAGATAATCAACGATAAAAATAGTTGCCCAGAGCCAAAAGGCTGAAATCCAACTTTATTCCAAGCTGATGAAGAATGAATCCCACAAGGGGTTTAAATAACCTACTAATGACAGACTCAAGTGAAACCCTAATCAAGCCCAAAATAAATAAATACTTATTAGGCCCATAATAACTCTACTAAGTGCTCTACTAATAATAGGCCCAAACTAAAAACTTAACACAAACTTTATAAAAATAAATAAAACTATATTCCAGCCCATAACCGACCCACGGAAGTGGGCCCAAGCCCGTTCCCGCCCCACGCTCTTCCTGCTCTCTATCAATCCATCCTCCTTCAAAATAACCTTATCCTCGAGGTTGAAATCTCGCAAAGCGATGGCTGAAATTTCCAGCCATAGAATAGACTGAAAAATAGACCCCGCCACGACGCTCACCCACTCCAATCAGCGTCTTCAAAGTGAGGTCCTTGCCCCATCGTGAATCCTCTTGTCCCATCGGGCATTCTTGGACCAGGTGGTGGTTTTGAGGTTTCAGTACCATGAGCAGGAGAAGGACGCATTCCTTGGACTTGTACGTTTGTTCCACATTTCTGCCTCCTTCCACGTCCTCTGCTCCGGCCTGCATGTCCATCTTTCTCTTTTGGTACATGTTCACTAATTGTCTCCTTTGGTAAATGGCACCCATCCTTTTCATCATGTGAATCACCATGTTGTTCGCTAGGATGGCTTCTCTCCTTATCCACAGCTTGATCAGATGATGCTTGACCACAAGTATGTCTATCAGTGCCTGATTCCCTCCATACTTTCTTTTTCTGTGCCCGCTTTCTCTCTTTCATGAGAAGTTTCACCCTCAATCCAAATCTCCAATCTTGTTCATCATTCAAAGTGGCCACAGCTTTTACAGCAGCTTCTATGGCATCAAATTCCACAAGTGCATGCAGCTTGCCGCTGAGCAGCTTTTCTGCAACTGAACACTTTTTTGAACTTCTTTCAACCTGCGGGTTTGCGGATACTGATTTGCTATTCTTGTCCAGCCGGACTAAATAGATGCTTAAGATCTTCCACTAAGTGATCCGCTGGTAAGTTCTCCACCAATACAGTGCATAGCTGGGGGTCCCTAACCCCAATGTATGGGAGAGGATTCAGTCTCTTCACTGCTTTCTCATCGGAACTGATGACCAGAAGAGAGAATCCCTTGAGTGCAGTCACAATCAGTGGTATTTCTTTCGTCAGCTTTTTCATTCTTTTGAATGAAGTAATATCGTTAGGAACAAACCCTTCTTCATTGTTGGTGATGATTGATCATATAATAATGCCGTTTGATCGTGGAAAGACTGGTTGTCGTGGGTTATTAGCTTCAAGCTTGAGGACAAGCTTGATGTTCAAGAGGGGAGTAATGATATGGAAAGAAGAATCTCATTATTACTACCTTTATTATTCATTATTATTATTAGTTTCCTAAAGTATTGGGTGTTAGTTTCCTAAGGTTATTATTAGTTTCCTAAAGTAAGTTTCCTGAAGTATTAGGTGTTAGTTTCCTAAGGTTATTATCATAGTAATTACGGCGTCGCTGCATCGTCGCCATGTCGTCGCCTTGGCGTCGTGGCGCCCAGGCAAGGTCGCCATGGAAGCTCGACTCGCCACAAGACATTAGGCGTTGCCGCATCGTCGCTACAGAGTCGGAAAGAAGCCATAGACGCTAGACAACGACGCAAGGCATTACCCAATAATTACGAATAGGCCCAAAGCAAAACCCAATTAGAAAAAAAAAGTTAACCCATCTAGCAAATCGGTGACTCTAAAGTCCTTGCCATCCCAAACGCTGAGTTGTGACTCGTCATCGCCATCCCAAACGCTGAGTTGTGACTCGTCAGCCAGGTCGTTGGGCGTGCATCTAGTCTTAAATCGGGCGGCGCATTTTTGGGACAGGCATCAATTATGTACTGCGGTCTGCGTATTAGTGTTTGTTTGCTTAAGTATTTTGCAAATTCCCTTAGCACAATTTTTAATTTAGGTTTAGACTTGTTTTTTTGCTCCAGAATTTTCCTTTACTGTCTATTGTAGTGGTATCTATTTTTCATATTTCGTTTTTCATTGCTCCAGTAGGTATTAATTGCTTTATATTCTTTCTTTCTATTGTATGATAACAAATTTCAGTTTCTTTTTTTATATTTTTATATTTTTATATTGAATAATTTTATTGGTGCCTTGAATTTATGCTGAAATTTACGTTGTGCAACTATGTTGTATTACATGTAGTAAGTTATTTTTAATTGTTAGTGACTTTCACTTTTTTTTTTAATTTATATTTAATAGATTACTAATTTTGAAAAATATTGCTTACTGCCTAACTTGGCTGATCCAGAAAAAAGTACCAATGAAACTATGGTCTTATGGATTATGTTGTTCTTATGTACATGTTTTACAACTTCATTAAGAGTGTTGGTTGGCTATATGTGTTACATGTAGGCAATTTAGTATATAAAACATATTATGGATTTATTATTACTCATGTCGACTTATCGCCGCGATGTCGCCACAACGGGCGCCATGTCGCCATGGCGGTGTGGCGGCCCAGAGGCGCCGCGCCGCAAAACCCCGCCGTAACAACTATGGTTATTATTAGTTGCAGTTTCCTATTAGTAGAGATATTCTATTTTAGTCACTTTCCTAATTAAAGTATTGTTATAGAATTAGGGTTACTCTAATACTAGACCACCAAGACTCTTGGGATATAAATAGAGGTGCCATATTAATGAATAAATCATCAATCTTCTGGAGAATTATATTTCTTGTGCGCTAGGTGGAACCGACGGACACTTCCTTGCCTAGGGCGGGAAGCTAAGTTGTTTTTCCAACTATCATACTTATCGTTCTTCTTTTTTATCTCCCAACCACGCCCGTAATAGTTACATATTTCAGAAGAAACTCATCAGTAATGCATTTGCATCAATTTCATGAGCCAAGTAATTTTGTTTTCAAGTCGGGTCTGTTTTTGCTGATTTGGCAGCTTCAGGACATGTGGCTGAAGTTTGATTTTTCATGTCCTGTAAATGTACAAGGCGGAAATTATTTATACAGTATACTTCATGAAACTATTCAATGATTAGATTATATGAAGTGTACATGAATAAAAATATTAAATAAGAAAATGCTGATAAATGGAACAATAATTAGAAAAATGGAAAATATTTTCTATTTAAATGATTAGAAAATGGAATAGTGAAGGAGAAGAAAACTTTCTGTCATTCTGCCAGCTTCTGCGGTTGATGTGGAGATAGCGAAGACTGAGGTTGATGTGGGTAGAGCAGAGCAGGAGAGTTGAGGACTTTGAGTAGCGAACACCAACACTCTGACTTGTGTTGATTAACGCAAATTTACATCGTTTTGACCTTTTATTTAGATACTTAGTTGGGCTTTATCATACTAAAGATATGGGTTTCTTATTTAAAATAGCCTGAAACTAAAATATTAGGCTTAAACGTGTGTTTCCACCTGATAAGAACAGAAAAATAAAATCAACGGGGTGAAACCGTTGCCCAGATAATCAACGATAAATAAATACCGTTGCCCAGAGCCAAAAGGCTAAACCAACTTTTATTCCAAGATGAGCAAGAATGAATCCTAACAAGGGGTTTAAATACTCATCTACTAACTCTTAAACTAGGAAACAAAATCCTAGAGATCCTAATCAACTCCAACTAGGAAACAGAATAATAAAGATCCTAACCAACTTCAAATAGGAAAGAAATAATAGAAATCCTAATTAACTCCTAATAGTAAACAAATATTAGAAATCCTAATTAACTTCAAAAGGAAACAAATCAGGAAAAATAAAAAGAATAAATATTAATTAAACAGCCCACAACCAGCCCACGGAGGTAGGCTCAAGCCCGTCCCGCCTTCAGTAAACCCACGGGGGCTTCTTCCCCTCTTCTTCCAAGCCCAGATTCTGCTTCATATCAATTCCATCCCTCTTCGAAAAAACCTTGTCCTCACGGTTGAAATCCGGAAACCGGCTGACATTTGTTCCCGGTGGTTGCCCAATATCTTTAGGAAAAATTGAGATGTACTTCTCCACAATCCTTGTCTGCTTGCCTCTGGACAGTTGTTCAAAGTGGTTGCCCTTAAACCGTGAGTCATAACGAGCCATCGCCTGTGTAAGCTCATCCCATGACATGCCCGGCTTTCGTGTCCGTATCCAGGTCAACCAGTATAGGGCTAACCCTTCCATCGCAACTACAGTGGCTGCGGCCTTCTTTCCCGGCAGAGTACAATTCAACTCGAACCGTTTCTCAACCTTATCAACCCGGCTGATCGGTTCTACTTCGTTAAACGACGGCAACATCGTGAGAAAGGAGCTGCATAGTCCAATTCCGAACGAGGATGCTGCTGCTGCATCGAGTGAAGTCACCACCGTTGAATGCTGCGCCGCTGGCGGTGCGAGTCTTTTTTAGTGTAGCCAATGAGGAAGTGATGTTGTGCGGCTGTCTGTCCCCGATGTGCGCAGATACGTTGGGGCTGCCAACCGTATCCGAGCTTGTTTCCGTCGTGACTGGTGGAACGAGCGCCTTGGTAAGCGCTGCCAGGGATGCGGCGATCTCCGCCAGACGCATGCCGTGCTCCTCTAGGGTTTGAGTTTGTTTGGCCACCATCTCTGACAAACGTTCACTGATAGATTTCGTCATTCCGGCGGGACGGGATCCGGCAGGTCGGACCAATTGATAAGAACAGAAAAATAAAATCAACGGGGTGAACCGTTGCCCAGATAATCAACAATAAATAAATACTGTTGCCCAGAGCCAAAAGGCTAAACCAACTTTTATTCCAAGATGAGCAAGAATGAATCCTAACAAGGGGTTTAAATACTCATCTACTAACTCTTAAACTAGGAAACAAAATCCTAGAGATCCTAATCAACTCCAACTAGGAAACAGAATAATAAAGATCCTAATCAACTTCAAATAGGAAAGAAATAATAGAAATCCTAATTAACTCCTAATAGGAAACATATATTAGAAATCCTAATTAACTTCAAAAGGAAACAAATCAGGAAAAATAAAAAGAATAAATATTAATTAAACAGCCCGCAACCAGCCCACGGAGGTAGGCTCAAGCCCGTCCCGCCTTCGGTAAGCCCAGATTCTGCTTCATATCACCACCTCAGGCGAGATTAGCGAGCACTTTTTAGCGCTTGAGTGCTTCTGCGCCTAACCTGCGCCTTACACAGATAGCTGCGCCTAACCTTTGTTAAGTCGATAGGGCTGATGCGCGCTGCGCCTGGTGCGCTTAAGCGCCCAGGCGCTCGCTTTTGACTACCTTGCTCACAACGGAATAGACAACCCTTATACCTGTAAAAAAAATTGTGAGGCCCTTTCCCGCTGAAGGAAGGACACACATGAATTAATTGGTCTAGTAGAAGCACGTGACCGGCACATGTACGAGCTCTGGATTCATGTCACATAGCGATAGCTTAGCTATCATGTATGCGATAATGCCGATAAATACTTTTTCTTGGGACCTTTGTAATGATGGACATATGTACTATTCATCCAACAAATTGTGATTTTATTTAGAATCAATATTCGTATATGCTTATGATTTATACATGGGAACTATAAAATTTGCAAATGGTTTTAGTGATTTGAGATCACTAATGCATTATAGCATTCTATTTTTCTAGTTTGGCCATCCTGAGTGGATCGACTTCCCTAGAGAAGGCAACCATTGGAGCTATGACAAGTGTAGGCGTCAGTGGGATCTTGTGGACATGGGTCACTTGAGATACAAGGTTCAAAATTATATTGAAATCTACTTCATTTCCGGGTGTGTATTTAATTTCAAAATAGGATGATCAACTATTTTGTTAGTATCATGTTCAATAACACATGTTGCAGCCAAATGTTCAATAACACATATGTTTTCTATTTCTTGTTTTTCCGTACCAACACTAAATTTCTCCGTTTCCTATTTTGATGTTCTGTTTTCCTTTTTGGTGCAGTTCATGAATGCATTTGACAAGGCCATGAATTTGCTTGATGATGAATTATCTTTCCTTGCTTCAGAAAAACAGATAGTAAGCAGCATAGATGAATATAATAAGGTACAATACACACAGTGGCATATATATAAATAAAAATTGACCTAAATAGGACTAAATGGAAACTTAATTTCACAAATAGGATTAAAGCCTAAACCATTCACAAATAGGACTAAACATTAATTTTCTGCCCTAAATACCCTAAGAGTATTAATTCATAATAAAATATTTTAATTGATAATCAAATCGTAAAAAATAATAAAAAATTAATAAATATTTATAAATTAAAATAAAATTTAATAAATTGAAAACAAACATTAAAAAAATTAATAAAAAATAGTAAAAATCCATAAAAAAAAAGTATGGATGCCTTTCCCACCGCCTCTACCGCCTCCCAGCACCACCACCTCCGATTCAAGAAACAAATGCCATTTTTTCTGAAAATGCCAAGAAAATGGCATTACTAATGCATGTTAGCATTTTTGTTTCCGATGATCAGAGCTGGGGGTGGTAGAGGCGGCGTTGCATTTTTCTTTTTACGTTTCTTTTTTTATTTTTTTATTTTTTTAATTTATACTCCCTCCGTCCCCTTTTAAATGTGCTGTTTTACCATATTAGGATGTCCCTATTTAATTGTCCCATACCTTATTTGGTAAAGTTTGTGTGACTCAAAATCATTCTTACTTTATTCTTACTTTATCAATTAATATCAACCACACAAACCCACTTTTCTTAAAACTCGTGCCACCCTTTTCCGTCCCATTATAAAAGGGACGGAGGTAGTAATTTTTATTTTTCTTATTTTTGATTTTTATTTTTTTTATTAAATATTTATTGTAGTCCAAAAAGCTACATGGGTATATTTGTCCAAACACACATAATTAGTCCTACTAGGGAATTTAAAACAATGTAGTCCTATTTTTGATTTATGGCTACCTTTGACTCTGAGTTAGGCAATTCTCTTATATATAAATATAATATTTATAATGCTGGGATGTAGTAGTATTATTATGATGTTCTGTCATTGATTATAATATATTTTGTTATGGGACCCTTGGCAAACAAGTTATGGTGTTGGAGAGGTCACATGTTTAAGTTTACACCCTTGTGATGGGACTCTTCCTTGGATCCTCGCCTTATGGGGATACCAATGTGCAACGGGCGTCCCTTTCTATTAGTCAGGATATGGTTATTTAAACATATATAATTATTTTGTTGATTCTTTCCCTAAAGTCAAGAGATTTGTACTGGTATACTTTATTATAAATAGAGAAACTAAATACACAAACAACTCAGTTATTCTTCCATATTTTTCACGCCATTCAAGTTGGTATTGGAGCACAGATCTGTGAGCTTGATAAAATAAACCCAGGTCTCTTGTGGTCTAACAGTCCCGTTGACTAGCCTTTGTAGTCCTCCGCCATAGCCATATTCCCGTTATTTATGTGTATCAAGAAAGTTTGAGTAGTCCTTTTATTCAACCACCATCATAAGGCTAACTATTGAAACTAACCTCCAAACCTTCGAGTAACATATGTGTGTTTTCTAGTTACCCTTATTTTCCCCTTTTCTATGGCCCTAGAATGACCTAGATCTGGGATATTCATGTACTTCTACCACAGCTTCCACAAATTAAGGTCTTGTGTTAGTTCTTTTCTCTAGTAATCCCCCAATCACATCAGCAAAACACATTGGTTTGAATTACATGGATTGGCAAGTTGCTGTTGAAATATGGTTTCTAGTCCAAGGTTTGTTGGATAATATCATAACAAAGGCAAATGACATTGCTACTGTTGAATGAGATCAATCAAAGAAAGCAAAATAGTTGGTGTCTCTCTTACACGAGTTTATCAATCCAAAGCTTATGGTTCACTTTTGGAGCTACAAAAAGACATTTTATGACAGTTTACTGAAATGATGTTTGAGGACTCTATGTTGTTGTTCAGAAGTTAATTCTGACAGGTGACGAGCCACCACACACAAAGTAAATTTGATAAACTGTGTGTGGTGTTTATCTTGCGCGCTCTTCACAAAGGTATGAAATTTGTTTGGAACCAAATGCTAACAAATCATAGTGTGCCTACGTCATGCGGGAGTGGTTCTAATTGATCCTTTATTGCGAGTTCCACCTTTGGAAGTCATGCTAGGAGTTGGTTCTCAACCAGGATCCATAGCATAAGCAATGCACTTTATAGTTTATATCTTGATCTTAATCAAGTCCACACTCATTTTCCATCATTTGCAATGAAGCCAAAGACTCACTATTTTTTAGCTTGGTACTATGATGGAATAAAGAAATATGACACAATAAACTTTCTGCGCTTCTTTGTTATGACCGAAGTGGCTAAGGGAAAGAATCAAGCAAACAGTTAGAGTTCTAGTAATATTAGTATTAATATAAATATTAATATTAATATTAATATTAATTAGCAAGCAATTAGAGTCCTAGTAGTATTAGTATTAATATTAATATTTGTTGGTCCCGGTTATACAAGGAACAGTCTGGGGGGGGTGAATAGACTGTTCTGGTTTTTAACTTTTTCAAGCTAAGTACCAAGTTTGACAGAATAGCCTGTTCTATTGGAAGAACAGACTGACAACAGATGGGGTTTTGTCCGGTTAGCCTCAGAGAGATGCAAAGGCAGTAGGCCCCTACTTCTGTTAACTTACAAGACCAGTTCTGCTGAACACAGAGACCAAGTCTTTGGAGTTAGGCAGTTTAAAGTAAATGCAAGTATTAAAAGCAGTAAGTAAACGACACCATGGATTTTTATAGTGGTTCAAGAAACAACGCGTTCCTCTAATTCACTGTTCCACTAAGCTTGTAAAAACACAAGTTACACAGCCTTAGTCCTAGCACTTAAGAAGCTCTCCACGTCTTCTTCAAGCATAGATGTCACCCGGGATGCACTTCCTTGCTTCCTGATGACTGGTCCTTTCACTGAGTTTCCTTGAAGTATCCCCACTTCACTACTCCAGATACTTTGGATGCCCTTCTTAAGAAGAAGATTGCTTTGTAAAAACAGGGGTTTCTCAAACTTGCTTCGTCACAAAAGATGTGTAGATGAAGTGCTTGAAGTGTTGAAGAACTGGAGGAACTTTGCTCTATTGTTGGATGAGAAAGATATGAGTTTATATCTTATCCAATGTTCAAGCTTTTCTTGTTGAAGGTGATGAGGATGAGATCTCAAGAAAGCTTTTTGAATGTTTGTAGAGAGAGCAAAAGTTATCCGAGTGTTCTTCATGTAGTATCATATATACTAGAGTTGCCTTCCCGTTGGAGGAGGGAGACATCTGCATTAAATGTGCTTACTGTAGATTTGACCGGTTGGTTCCAAAAGCAGACGACTTGCCATCTTTGGGCGCATAAAAAATATTCTTTTTGGATCCCTGGTCAATCATCCGCTTTAAATATCTCAACGTGTGAAGCACATTAAATGGGCATTTAATGCGCGTACTGTAGCTTTCCCCTTGAGGAGCTTCTAGTCGTTAGGGTATTTCCAGTTAGTTCAACCGGCTTAGATAGCAGTGTAGAATTCTAAGTGTGAGGCCTTCTGTTGGATCTCTTCGAGGAGTATAGTTCATGAATACCTTGAGCACTTCTGTCTAGTAGAGGCAACAGAGGACCTGGGGTCTTCTGTCCAGTCGAATAAACTAATGTCTTCTGTCCAGTCGAATAAACTAATGCTTACACATGGAAATTTCTAATACAATTTTCTAAAGGGGTTCTGCTCTAAGAGCCTAGAAAGTCTAGCATCATCAAAATCTAAATACAATTTATTTCTTACAATATTAATATTAATTAATCCTACTTTAAGTAGTGTTCCTTTGTTTTAGTTATTTACAAATTACAATAGCAGTTCAGTTTGCGATTTTGTTTTGAGAAACCCTTAACATCTATATAAGGGGTCTTCAGTCAAGTTATTAAACAGCTTTTGGGAAATTAACTCTGGGATTTCTTGACTAGGTCAGAGATAGGATTTATTCCGTTAAGCCTCTTAAGTTTCGTTCCTCTCTTCGTACTTGATTAAAAATTGATTAAAAAACATCTATATCCTGTGATCGTTTAGATCAGACTTCCCGCTCTCGGCCTTGGACTAGGTCACATACCCGTGCCCTTAACAACTTGGTATCAGATTCTGGGACGATGGGGACCGACGCCACTGTTGCTGCTTCCCTGAATACCATGATTGAGAGTGTCGACTAACTAAGCGTTTTGGGCCGCCCAGTAGCACGAATCCCGAATCCCGAATCCCGAAGGAGATCAGGCAAAACTCTGCCAAACATGCTATCTTGAGCTATATATCGAAACATTCCAACAAATGTTGGCTCACACAATAGGGATTTCAACTCATATGCAGGTTAAAATATTCACCGTCGGGTTCCGCGATTTTTTTCACATGGAGGTTGAATATCGGGACCCACTTGATCTTGACTCTGCTACGATGCTGGCACGAACGGTTGAGCGCAAAATCAGTTTACCCGCATCTTTGTCTGCATGCTCGGTGCGTCCCCAGCCAGTTGCCTGTTCAGAATCAATACTTGTTCCAGCTGCATCAAACCCCTATCAGCGCAAGTGCGCAACTCTAATCCAAACTTTAAGAACATTTCTCGTGCAGAGGCTGCTATTCGTTGAGAAAAGGCCTTTGTTATAACTGTGACGATCCCTGGGTTCGTGGCCATCAATGCAAACGGTTATTCTTTATTGAAATTCTGAATGATGACCAGTCAGACGATCAGTTTGAGCCAGCTCTCTCTGTTCATGCTATGACTGGAATCGGATCACTTCGACAATGCAATTAGCTGCAACCCTTAAAGCTAAACCCATCACAGTTTTGGTAGATTCGGGCAGTAATCATAATTTTGTGCATCAAAGGTTGGTTTTGGAGAGTACCGTGTCGCTTCACCAGTGATCCCATCTTCATGTTCTCATGGCTAATGGGGACCATGTACTTATTTTGGGTGCCTGTCCTCGTCTCACCTTCCTCGTGGACGAACGCACCTTTACTGCTGACTTTTGTGTACTTCCATTGGCCAGGGTTGACATGATTTTGGGCTTTCAT